CTACTTTTATAAACGCTCTTTGGGAAAACGTATTCATATAGTCAAAAGCTATGAAATTAATCATGAGCAGGTGGTCCTGTACCATAGCTATAAAGTTAGATTTTTTAAAGACCTACTAATTGCTGAATTGAATTACTTTATTCTCCTTAAATAAGTACGTCCGAAAAATTTGAGGGCTTTTAAGTATTTTGCTGCAGTTCTTCAAACTTCAAGTGTCTTGTTAAACAATTGCTTTATATTTCCACTCATGTAGTTCCCCATGTGTAGTTGCATTTTTTTTAGGAAATATGTGTCTTTCCTTACCAGGTACACGTTTGTGTAAAATTAAAATCTTCATGTTCTGGTTAGTGTTGGTCATCTAGGGTACTTCTCTTGATTGTTTCCTGCCCTGATAGGTTCTGTGCTTTGAGATGGTGATGAATTCAAGTTCTGGACTTTTTTTTGGCTTTTTGCTCTGTCCCTATTCATGTTTATGTGGTAGACTTTACGTATGTTTCGTATAATTGCATATCCTCCCTCCCATTGTGATATCTGGAGTATCAAATAACAGCTTTTGTATCAACCATGGATTTCTGCTGAATTCTGCTCTGAAGTTTATATAAAGGGAGATAGAGTAGTTGGACATAGGTTGTAATAGACTTTAAGCCATCAAGTGTCTCTTTAGTTATGCAGTGTATGTGTCTAACTTTAAAAATTGTTATTTGTAAAATCTGTAGTTGACTAGGATAACTTCTTTTGACTCATTGCCTTTTTAAGGAGGAAAATATTCATCATTTGAAGAGTGATAAGGGCCATCTCACTGGTCAATTCTAATTATTTGTTCTACATAGATGGTAGTTAGGATCAGTTCATTTTATTGTGAGATAAAATGATAGCAATACACTGATTTTGTGCTTGAATTGAACAGAATAGATTTAGACTTTTTTAATAAGAAATTCTGAAGAACATGATGTCAGATGTAGGTTGTTAACATTTATAAAAGTCTCCTTATCCATATAAATAAGCTTTTTATGCAACTATCAAGACTTCTACAAAATAGAGCAAAATGCCTATTTGAAATATTCTCTAGAGATTGTTTGAAGTAGGCAATTATTAATTGTTCAAAGTGGGCAGTTAAGAAACTTTCCCTATGCATTGGAACACAGAGAAAATCCCCAGTACATACTGATAAAGATTTGGTGATTAGAATTCATCTGTCAACTGTTTTTTTGCTCTTGTTGTATAATAGCTTCTCCTTGCATTATGTGTCTGCATATAGATGGGCTGGGAAGAAAACAGTTTTCCCCTTTGAGTAATCAGATGTGAATTAAGACAAGTTTGTGTACAGATTTGTTGATAAAGATGGTGTCATTTGGACATAGTTTGTGGAATATGATTGGGTATGTTACACCAACACTCCTTCCCTTGACAAAACAATTGAGCCAGTAGTGAAAGCGGAAAATTCTACAGACAAGTTATATGCTACCAGGTCTTTAAATTCCTTTCATGTGCCTTTCAGGAATCTCCTGAGAACTCTCATGTAGATACATCTGACGTAGGTGGGTTTTTTAATTTACTTTGTAGCTACCTTTTTTTGACTCTTTGAAAAAGATTGCAAGTAACTTTCATAATTTTCTAATATAATAAAAATAAATTTAATACGTGTTTTGTACCCTTTCAGAAAGTAGAGAATGGGAATAACAAGAAACTGAGCTAGTGGTAGTACTATGAAATCAATATCCTTGTTCCTTTTTAAAAATCTCAGTCGTGAATCCCTGATATGTTGGAAAGTTGATGTGGAATATGTTCAGTTGGCTTTTTCTTAATAAAGAAAGGAACAGTGAAATAAAATAAGTGGTAATGGAGGTTTTTTGTATTAAATCAAATATATACATTAGTGGTCTGATAAACATGAATGTTGCATTCAGCTGCAACAATTTGTCATCAGTGGTGTTTTTAACAGTTTCAGCATCAGTCTTGTGGCCTGTCTGCAATATTTTGGGTGGTTTTTAGCTTGTATTCCCAAAGAATTCCTTTCTTGTACTAATTAGTAATAACCATCTTTGAATTACTGTTTTAAAAATATTTAAGCTTCTGTTACTCACAATCTTTTGATTCTTGTGCATATAAAAGCTTACTGTTTGGCATAAGTTAAACTATGGCTAGGTGGTAGCCAGTATTTAATGATTAAAAGAGCAATTGCAGCAAAATATGGTTAGCTGGTGTTTATATACTGTGATAGAAATCAGGTGCTTTATACACATAGCTGTCTCCAAGGCAAATGATTACTTCTCTGTTGAGGGAAAATAGAAAATAGCTATCTGAGATTTGTCCTCTTATGATTTGAGATGATAATTTCAAATATCTATTTGAATGATAAGAATAATTCTGTGAAATTTGTTTGTTTATTGTTTTTTGGGTTTTTTTTTTCAACCCATGCAATGAAATATAGGAAAGAAATTTCAGAGGCATCTGTAGCTTAGTTTCTGTAAATGTCCTTTGTGTCTTTTGCATTCATGGGATAAAGGAGTGATGCAGTTAAGATGCTGATATCTTCATAGCAGAGTGCAATAATATGATTATCCTCTCCTCCTCCTTCTCTTGCGAATGTTCTAGGAAGAGACTGGAGAAGATTTATAGCAGCCTTGGTGGGTCCCAGCTATCTCTAAATACAGTAAGACCTAGAAATTAGCTTCTTAGACCTGTGAGACTGAATTCATCACTAAAAAATGGAATTCACCTAGGTGTTCTGGGGTTTGTTTCTGGGTTTGGTTTTTTTTGCTTGAAATATGTAAAAGGTTAGCAATGCTAACTAGCATGCTAGCTGTAAAGAAAAAAGTATCTTTAGCTATTTTAGCTAAAACTTCAGCTTTGGCAGGTTTTTTCTATATTTAGTATTCGTACGGAATGTTTTACGCTTCTCAGTGAAGGCACTGTTTCTTCCAGATATGATACAATATTTTTGTTCTGAAAGTATGCAAAGACTACCAACAGCAGGTACAAATAAAGCAAAACAGCTCTCACCTGTACTTGAAAGTATTGGTCTTCCCTTTATAAGGAAAATTATTAGGTCTACCTTCTTTAGTTTCACAGGAAGCACCATGGAAGTATAGTGATAACTAAACAATTTATTTTATATATTAGTACAGCATTAGGAGAGAAAAGGGAAAGTTCAGTCTGAATTGTATATATTTCTCTGAGTGGATTTAAGATTATAAGATCACATCCATGATCAAAACTTAAAATTTACAATTGCCCTGCTACTAACATGTTCATCTTTTAAATAAGATACATCTTTTAGATAATGACAGTGTATCGAGTGCACCGTTAGTGAACAAAATATATCAGAGGTCAAATTTTCCAGAGAGAAAGGTGGGATTTTTAATTTTTCCTCTCTCTTCTGCACCTGAGGAACAAAGATATTCCCAAATTTCCCTTTTGGCCCTTAAAAACACATTAAGGTTCCCTGGAGGAGATAATTCATTTTTTATTTTTTTTTAATTTTGTGCTCTGCCTTGGTCCTCAGCTAATTATTAATATTCCAGTGATTTGAAGTATGATTGACAATATGTTGAAGACATCCTAAAATTACACTTTTGTGAGATTTCACACATGGAAGAGTATTCAACTTGTATACAGATCAATTAATTCTGTGATACAAGTGATTTTCTAATAGTTTGTAATTGGCATGATAGTCAACCATTCCTGGACACTGGAGTTGTTACCTTTACCTCAAGAACCCTCCCATTTATGTCTAGTCTGGTCATCTCAAAGATAAGAAGATGACCGTATGGCAGAAAGAATCAGCTGTTACAACAGAAACTGGAGGCTGAAACTTTTCCAGATTAAAACATTAACAGTCTTAGTGCTTCCTCCACTATTGATGCTTAGTAACTGATTTCCTGAGGATAAAGTCTTCCATTAGTCATGTGGGAAGAAACTTTGGTAATCTCACAGGTATGGATTTCACTTCTAATTAAAAAATTCTACTGGGGGCAGGTAGACTGTCAAAGCCAACCCTCTTATTGCTCAATATTTTCACTGAAAAATGCAAAATTGTGTTGTCTCCCATAAAGTTAGTGTTCCTTTCATATGTATCTCTATCCTAGCTCTATGACAGCAGCTGTCCTCAGAGCTTTAGGTGATGATTACGCTGACAGAGAGGGGGGAAAAAAAAAAAAGGGAAGATGGGATTAGCTGGAAAGGATTTTCATTCTGTTTTTAGTAATTTAAGAATAGTATGAAGAGGCAGTGATGTGGTAGGTATCATAACCAAGATTTTTTTTCACTCATTATTTTCCTTTTCAGGGTTGTTCTCTTCTTTCCCTCCCTGCAGTGAATACTATCGTGGGACAAAGATATGACAGCCAAGGAAATTCAGAAATCGGGGCTTACAATGCAGTCACATGTTTTATGATCATGAAAGACTGAGGCTTTACCTAATGATGAACTGGTTACATCTAGCAAAAAATGTTTTGTTGCATTTAATTCACAAAAATACCCATAGAATACCTAAAAATTGAGTTGGAAGATTTGGACGTCCTTTTTAATATTCTCAAGTCTGTCATATTTCTCACCTTGGCAGTTCTAAGGCAGTCTTGACAGTAAGAAACTAAGAAAAGGAAGCATGGAAGAATGCTCTTACTATCTTTGTTGGGATATGTAGGAATGTAGTGGGAAATCAGTGGGAATGATGCATTAATAAATAGTGAATCTTGCAGAGCAGTGCTTTGAAAATATTTTACTCTCTGAAATGCTTAGCATAAATCTTGAAGACCTGGTTACAATCAAGTTATCTGCACTCTTTGTTTCCCTCAAGTCATTTGTGAACCTATATACCATGATTTTCAATTAAGCTTGAAATGGAAGGGTAATACAGATAAAGTTTTCATATAGAAAACTGTTTTCTAAAATGAAACCAGTTTAGTCAAAAAGTTTTATACAGTGTGTGTTTAAAAACATTTCCATTTTGGTTTTGAGATCAACTAGATTTTTATTTAGTATTTATTTTCAAATTTTAGGTGATGAAAGTGACGCCGATATAGTTTCAGTACGAAGGCAACTTGAACATGTTCACTTCCAGGTAAAATCTTCTGCTTTCTAATGTAATGGAATAGTTTTGTGTTCAATAGAAATGATTGAACTGTTTGCATGATGAGTTGATGCTTGATGGGTAGACAGCAGAAGACTATGTAGTCTGCATCTTAATGCACATTTTTAGGAAGTGTAGCAAATGAGAGGCTCAATAAACAATATCATCAATATGAAGTAATATTATGTCTTGGTAATATTAGTATACCAGAGAAAGCCATAAAATGTATTGCATAGAAAAAGCAACCCTGAGAAAGGCTGTTACAGATATGGAAAAAGAATTACCAGATGAATCACAAAATGGAAAAAAACACTTACAAAGATATGATTGTTCACCTGAAAGTCTAGCATGAGCAAGTAACATGATTTTTTTAAAAAAAAAATTTTAAAGTAAATCTGAAATAATGGCTTCCATAACAAAGCAGACTGGAATCTTTTGCTGTTTTTTCCCAAACTAGACTATGGGTATCAGGACTACCTGGAGTGGTTACGTGGAAGAAAAGTACAACACACAATTTGTGTGTGCAGCCGTTCTAATCCTGTGTTCTTGCTCAAGTACAATTACCAAAAATTTAATTTACTTTTCTTATTTGTGTAGCATAGTGCTAGGCATTATCAAGTCAATGACAACAACTAATACAAACTGCTTCAGAAATTGAGTGTTTCACTACTGAAAAATATTTACCATTTACCACCAAATGCCTTTAGATTTTACATAGAGGTGTGTTACAGAGCAAACCTTAATTTGTATATGAATTCATGGGATGTTAATAATACATGTAAAAACTTGCAGCCATAATTATCAGCATTTTGCAACCTAAGACTAGGACTTTGTTTTTTTGTTTGTTTTCATCAGTGGGTCTTCTGAGGCAGTGTGTGCTTTAGCCTGCATAATTAAACTAGCTAGTTTTCTCTTTTTATGTCTTCATACACTGTTCCTTTTCAGGAGGTGGGGGTTTTTTTACATGAAATGTAAACATTAAAAATAAGTTTATGCTGGTTGGATAGCCTCATCTGAACAATACTAGTTTGAAACAAATCTGAGTAATCTGTTTGAGTTTGTCAGTGTCAGTAACTTCTATAACTTCTCTGTGTGTTAATTATTTATTTTTTTTAAAACTTCCTCTAAGAATCCATATGTAGGTGATGGAAAAGTCCAAGGGAAAGCAACAGTTCCAGTGGATGTGATAGTACAAGACTCTGCTAGAAACATTCCCAAGTGGATCACGGTAACATATTTCCCCTGTGTTGTTATTAGCTAATTAGAATAAAATAAGAACTCTAGCTGTGCAGCACAATGAATTCTAATACAACTGCTTTGGTGTTCCATCACTGATCCTCTCGTGCTTGCCGTCTATGTCAATATCACAGTATCTTGGGTCTCTGACAGCAATGATTTGTAAAAAACAGAGCAGATGATATTCAAATATTTGTGGTTTGGTTTTTGTTGTTTGGTTGGGTTTTTTTTACTTTTATACCTTGTTTTTTGAACCCCAATGTGGGGGTTCATCTTCACTTGAGTAAGTTTTCTGAAAAGCCTGAATTTGAGGTTTGTAGAGAAAAAAAGTTTAGCTTTATTTTGGTTTTGAGCATGAGGGGGAATGGAGTTACACGGTACGGCTTCTGTTTCCTACTAGAGTTGCCAGAGTTGTATAGATTATCTAGGTATATGTATACAGGTATAAATTCTCATATCTGGGAAAGGGATTAAAATATAATAATAATGTAGAAGTTGCAAGGATGATAAATACCTTTCCAAGATTAAACTAGTACCTCTTGAAAATTCTTACTGAAGTCTTAGACTGGACTTCTTCATTGCCTGAAATGTACAAAGCCCCTTGGGACTAGAACTCTGTACTGGAGCTAGTATAATAAGGAGAGAGTAGGAGGAGCCACAAATAAGGTTTTGATGTTACTTTTAACATGCAAAAAATTCAGCATATTAGATTATAAGTCTTTGGTTTGTTTTTCTCTTTCTTTGTTTTTCAGGTGGCGCCTCAAGTTTCATCAGAATGTCTTCATTTAGCTTTACCAGTGCAAGAACTGATTGGTAAAACTAAATATGTTGGGTGTTGTTCAAATATGTTAGTTACTAAAGGCTTTTATTTTAAATTATTAGAAATAAATATTTAATTTATTGAGAACATGGAGGCACTATTCATCCAACAGAAAAGTTCAACAGGCTGGATTCTTGAAAAGAAATTAGGCATGATTTTGCTTATGGCAAAATGTATTTGAAAAACAGAAAATAAATAACTTGCATACATAAAAACAACTTCTATTAAATAGCTCCAGGAAAAACTGCATAGTTACAAAATTCAGCAGCCTTAAACTCAATTAAGTTAAAGCATGATTTTTTTCTTCTGCTTCTTTTAAATTCAAGAAATGTAATGAATGGGTTTGGGTCTGCTGATACTTAAAGTGGTACTTTGCTAGTAAACTTTCTTTCTTCAAAAGCATTCCAGACTTGATGCAAATCTAAGATAGAATTTTGGTGTAAATATTTCAAGCCTAACAACTACAAAAAGCATTATCTTCATTGGGCTTTACAGCAAGCAAAGCTGCACTGGTATTAGCCAAGTACAAAGCTTTTAACTAGTATGGAAATAAAGTAACAAAACCTGTAGGATGAGGCAGTTCCTCCTGGTCAGAAATCACAAAGAGCGAAGCAGTCTGCCTCTACAATGAGAATATTTTATATCTATATATTAAGCTATTTTAAAATAGTGCGTTTTTCCAACACATTTAGTTTCTGTCTTCTATAATATCTTAATTCAGTATGGTTAGGAAAAACTTGTTATTTTTTACTAATGGATTGCATGTTAATCATCCATTTAGGCTGGCAAACTCCTTAATGAAATATACTATTACAGTAAGACTATACTGCATGCAATTTTTTCATAGTCATATAATACATTACTGGAAGTGCCCTAACGGGTTTGGGGTTTTTTCTACTTCTGATTTTGTTTTGTGATTCATTTGTCTTTTTGAATAGGCAACCAAGCCACTGCTTGCAGAAAGAAAGTAGAGTTGTCAAATGACTGTTCTTCATCAAGACCTCTACAGTTACAATTTGATGGTGTTCCCTTTTCACCAAATACAGTAACCGTACTCAGGCATCAACCTTCTCCAGAACTGAATAAATCTTGCTATGATAGTATCTTCGATGAATACCAGTCTGCAGATGAGGAATGCTCCTGGAGCAATGTAACCCTTGCAGACTTGTATCCAAGGATGGTAAAGGTATTTACAAGACTCATGACAAAGCAGTCTCGGAGAACAGCGTTAAAATACATATTTGGGCACTTAAGGCACAAAAGAGGGCATTCTAAAAGACCAAAGCTCAATGTCACTGTAGACAAAATAAGAGGGTTCAGACCTCTTAAACTGAAGCAAGCACCTAGCATATGCAGGAGTAGAAGTGAAGAGATCCAGAAGCAAATTTTAGGAAATGAGAACAGAGAACTTTGTGATGACGAGTGTTCTATTAATAATTCAACTGGTCTGGTACCTTATTCTTACATTGATACAAATGAAATCAAAATGGACTACTCTGACTCAACCTTAGAACATCATTTGGTATCTGGAAAAGGTCAAAAAGTCTCAGAACAGACAGTTTTTCCTAGTGTTACAGCTAGAATGGGAGAGACATTTATAGTTGAAGATGAGTTACAGACTGCTGTCTCACTGAAGAATTCAAAATGCAAAGATAGTGAAAAATTGTCTTACAAATGTTCCTCGGAATACCATTTTATAGCATCTACTGCCAATTCAGGGTCAGCAGCACTTTGTCTGGTAAAAGAGAGTCAAAGTCCAAAAATTAACTTTCCTTGTGGTGGTACCTCAGAGCCGTGTTCATCTACTTGCAGTTCCTATGGCAACAGTAACCCTTTTACACCTGTCACAAACTGTCCTCCTGCAAGAGCATCAAATACTTTGCACATAAATCCTGAAACAATGATTTCTGAAAGGGAAATTTTTTTTCAGCGCAAGCACTCATTTTCCTCATTGTCTGTGAAGCAGAGTCCTTCAAAGATGCACCAGAAATACGAAGATGCATTTGAAAAACTCTACCACAAACTATGTTCAAAAGAAATCCAGAGGCCTTTGACATTGACAAGACCTCTTTCAAATTTACAGAACCTTGAAGAGGAAGGAAGATTAGTGAAGAGTAATTTAAGTAATTCTGCAAAGTTCGATACACATTATGATAGAGAATTTGACAGGATCTATGAGCAACTGTGTAGTGAGCCTGTTCCAAAACTTCCTGGGCTTCGGAGAGCTTCAAATTTAAGGAAGTATGAAGGAATACAGATGTCTGAAACTGTAAATGCTCTTGTTAACTCGCCTGTTCGAACTTTATTTGCAGTTCCCAGAGTTAAAAGACCAGGAAATTTTCAACATGATCTTCTTTGTTCACCAGTAAAGAGACTGAATAATATACCAGAAAGTTATTTTCATTCAACAAAATGTCAACAGTTTTCTCATGGAAAAAGCATTAATCTTCAGACAGTTGGCAAGGATTTTTTGAGCACATCCAATGGCAGTAACTCCAGCTTTTTTGACAGTCAAAACTATCGCAGTCAGGTACTTATGGGTCTTGTAAAAAATAAATAAATAAATAAAATTCCTCACTCTTTGCTGACATTTGGAGAAGGGCTTAAAAATTGGATTAGAGCTGGAAGCTGTTTAAACTAGTGACAGCGTACTTCCGGTGCTATTTGGTCAGCAGGGTTTTACAAGTTTGGGGGTTTGGGCATTTTTATTTGGTAAAATACAAGTTCTGTCAGGTCTCCTGGATCATGTGAGGAAGCTCACTGTATTTAATAACCCTGAAAATTGTTATAAAATGCTCAATAGAAGATTTTATTGTATTTTAATACACAGTGTCACTGGTTAAAATAATCTCAAACAGTGACCCTGTTAATTAAGGTAGTGTCCTTCTGAAATGATGTAGTTTTAGTCATTTTATAGATGGGTAAGGTGAGGCAAACAAATTAAGCTTTACTAGGTTCCATTTGAATCATTAGACTTGTTGATTTAAATATTAAATCAGGCCCTTATTTCCAAGTTCCCAGTCACTTCTACTTCTGAGGCAAGCTGAAATAATACATGAGTTTTTCCATTGATGTAATCTGCTGATACTTTTTTTTTTCAGGTCTCTAGATTTCATGCTGCTTCAGATAAACATTTTCTTGGTACTCCTGGTACTTCCCTGCAAGGTTAGTTTCAGAGACTACTTTAGCAATTACAAGCACTTCTTCAAAGGGTAAATCTACTGATCTCAGTAGACCACTGTCTTTTAATGACAGCTTTTCTTCCTCAGCAATAACTAGGTTTAAGTGTTCCTTTAAGTAAGGAATTTATACAGAAAAGACAGCATAAGCATTTTGAAGAAACCTAGTTTATACTCAAATATATTGTGTATAAAATGTCCTTGAAATTAAGCTTCGCTAGAACCTTTTGCATTAGAATATTTTCATAAGGAAACTTGCTCATTGAAGTATGCCAATGAAGCATTACCTATGTCTTAATAAGGTCATATTTTAACAACATACTGTAGCGTCCATGCTACTCAGCACTGTTCTTACCCTTTTCATACTACTGTTTTTCATCACCAGAATCTGGGATTTCAGATGCCCACTCTGCTTGGCCCAGGGCAGTGAAGAATTATGGCTATCCTGGAAATGCACAGAAGTGTCACCAAAGGTAAGTGTCTTTTGAGAAAAGAAATTTCAAAAGAAATTCTTACTGTTCTACATCTATGATTAAAAGTATGGAGTCTGTTTCTTACATGTGTAATTCTAGAATGAAAATCATCATGGATGCTTGGAAGAGCCCAAGCTAATCAAATTTGCAGATTTAATTGCAGATTTAAACATTGGGAGGCACGTGTCTATGGACCAAACTAGCCATATTCCAGCATGGATGGCCAGTGATCACAAGTTAGTAAGATGGTCTGAGTCACAGAATCACAGAATCATTATGGTTGGAAGAGACCTGTAAGATCATCAAGTCCAACCCTCAACCCAACACCACTAAACCATGTCCTGGAGTGCCACATTCACATGCTTCTTGAACACCTCCAGGAATGGTGATTCCACAACCTCCCTGGGCAACCTGTTCCAGTGTTTGATCACTCTTTCAGTAAAGAAGTTTTTTCTAATATTCAATCTAAACCTCCCCTGGCGCAGCTGAAAGCCATTTCCTCTTGTCCTGTCACTAGTTTCATGGAAGAAAAGCCCAACACCCACCTCTCTACAGCCTCCTTTCAGGTAGTTGTAGAGAGCAATAAGGTCTCCCCTCAGTCTCCTTCAGACTAAACAACCCCAGTTCCCTCAGCCATGTAAGACTTGTGCTCCACAGCCTTCACCACCTTTGTTGCCCTTCTCTGAACGCACTCCAGTGCCTCTGTCCTATGTCATGCTGTGTGAGCGCACTCAAGATGAACCGTTCCATAATCTTCCCTGGTACCGAGCTCAGGCTGACAGGCCTGTAGTTTCCCAGATCCTCTTTCCAACCCTTCTTGTAGATGGGTGTCACATTGGCAAGCTTCCAGTCCTCTGGAACCTCCCCAGTTAACCAGGACTGTAGATAAATGATGGAGAGTGGTTTTGTAAGCTCTTCTGCTAGCTCCCTTAGTACTCTCAGGTGGATCCCATCTGGCCGCATAGACTTTTGGATGTCCAGGTGGCGCAGCAGGTCATTAACTGCTTCCTCTTGGATTACGAGGAGTTTATTCTGCTCTCCGTCCGTGTCTTCCAGCTCAGGGACCCGAGTACATTGAGGATAGCGGGTCTTACTATTAAAGACTGAGGCAAAGAAGGCATTAAGTACCTCAGCCTTTTCCTCATTCTTGGTGGCAGTGTTCCCCACTGCATCCACTAAAGGATGGACATTCTCCTCAGCTCTCTTTCTGTTGTTAATGTATTTGTAAAAACCTTTTTTTTGCTATCTTTTATGACAGTGGCCAAATTGAGTTTGAGCTGGGCTTTTGCTTTCCTAATTTTCTCTCTGTATGACCTAACAAGATCCCTGTACTCTTCTTGTGTTCCCTGCTCCTACTTCCAAAAGTTACATACTCTCCTTTTTTTCCCCGAGTTCCAGCAAAAACTCCCAGCTCAGCCAAGCCGGTCATCTTTCCCAATGCTTCGTCTTATGGCACATGGGGACAGTCTGCTCCTGTGCCTTTAAGACTTTCTTCTTAAAGAAATTCCACCCTTCTTGAACCCCTCTGCCCTTCAAGGCTGTCTCCCAAGGGATTCTCTCTACCAGTGTCTTGAACATGCCAAAGTCTGCCCTCCAGAAGTCCATGGTGGTGGTTTTGCTAACCCCTTTCCTTACTTCACCAAGAATTGAGAGCTCTGTCATTTCATGGTTGCTAAGCTCAAGCCTGCCTCCAACCACCACATCTCCCTCCAGTCCTTTTCTGTTTGTGAACAGCAGGTCAAGCAAGGCACCTCCCCTGATAGGCTCATTTACCAGTTCTGCCAGGAAGTTATCTTAAACCTCCTAGACTGTTTCCTCTCTGCTGTGCTGTATCTCCAGCAGACATCTGGTAAGTTGAAGTCACCCACAAGAAGAAGGGCTAGCGATTGTGATGATACTTCTCCTAACTGCTTGTTAAGTGCTTCATCTGCCTCTTCATCCTGGCTGGGTGGTCTCTAACAGACTCCCAGCAGGATATCAGCCTCATTAGCCTTCCCCCTCATCCTTATCTATAAGCACTCAACTTTGTCATCACAGTCATTGAGTGTTTTCTGGTTCCTACCAGTATGCTTCCATGCCACTGAAGGGATTGAGGAAAACACTAATTGTGCTCCCAATCCTTCAGCCAGTCACCCCAGTGCCCTGAAATCCCTCTTGATTGCCTTTGGACTTCGCTGCTCAACCTCATCTCTGCCAACCTGAACAACTAACAGTAAATAAACAGAGAGCCATACCGGACCAGGGAGTTGCTACTTTGGTCCTTATTTTTTGTTCATTATAGAGGCATTTATTCTTTTAGATATAACTATAGAATTGTTTTGTTTCTGGCTCTTGGGTTTGAGCCAGCAAGTCGTCTTAGATCCTTGGGTGGTGGAGAGTGCAATATATTGCCATTTAAAAGGAGTGTCAAAATTTAACTTCTGTGCAAGTTGGACGTAGTTACCTGCATTTTGACTCTGTGTAAACAAGCAGTGAGACTGGAAGATATCTGAGGTCCTCTTCTGCTGTTATCACTATTAGCAGTGTATTTAGATCTGGAAGAAGAACACTCCTTCCATCTCCCTGGATACTGGCCTACTACATCTGCTATTTTTAGAAAATATATGATTTTTAAAGGATTCTCAAGTTTCAGATCTCTTGGATTTTTTTATTACAAACTAATATAGTAGGCAGCAGATTTAAAAAGCATTAAAAATTCTTCAAAGAGTTTGTCTTTTTTTTTCCAAATAACTTTTACATGCTTTTTTTTTTTGCCAGAAAGTCTATAATTTTGCACCACAAGATATGCTGCCTTCCCAAACTCAGTCAAGAAATATTTTCAGTATGCTTGAGATCATCATGCAGCTGATACCAGGTTTTTTTGACAATGTTAAATTAACAAAGGAAGCCTGAATGCATTTTTAAACTACTTGTGTGGACAACTTACATGGAAAAGAGGCTGCATGATTTAAAGAAAAATTTTGGTTTACAAAGATGGTATTAAAACTTAAAGGCTTGTATTACAAATATATAACAATACTGATAAAGATCGTATTCAGATTATTTTTTATATAATGGAAGACTGGAGGTAAGCTGATGAGTATACAAGAATGTATACTCAATATGGATCTCATTAATGCTTATAAATATCTTAAGGGCGGCTGTCAGGAGAATGGGACCAGACTCTTCTCGGTTGAGCCCAGCAACAGGACAAGGAGCAGTGGTCACAAACTGGAACACAGAAGGTTCCATGTGACCATGAGGAAAATCTTTACTGTGAGGGTGACAGAGCACTGGACCAGGCTGCCCAGAGAGGTTGTGGAGTCTCCTTCTCTGGAGACATTCAAAACCCGCCTGGACATGTTCCTGTACAACCTAGTTTAGGTGATCCTGCTCTGGCAGGGGGCGTTGGACTGGATGATCTTTTGAGGTCCCTTCCAACTCCTAATAGTCTGTGATTTTGTGATGTTTCTGTGATGTTGAATATGCCCCCTTAGATGAGTAAATTTCTGCTCAGTTCTTGGATTCCCTCTTTTTTTCCTTACTACTTTTTCCTGACTTCATACAAAATATCCCCCCCTATGAGGTTAGTAATGGTTCTGAAGGAAGAGGTTTTCCTTTTCTTAATGCATATAAGTAGGGAAATTTGAGAAAGTAGGAAAGTGATTTAACGGGGCTTTCTTGCCAAGCCATATGGACTAAAATCTATTTCTTTCTTCCTTAATTACACAAATACATGTTTGCTGATTTGTAGCCAAAATGGACTGTCAGTTGGCAAGCTTCTTTAGGCCTGTGGTGTGATATTCTTAGTCTTCTGTGGTTCTCAGCAATGAAACTGCTTTTTAATGGCTTCAGAGCCCTCAGAAGTTTTATGCTTAAGTCTTGTGGCAGAATGCTATATATCGAAATGAGTGGTTGTGGAAGAAAAATTAATATTGTCTTCCTGTCTGGAACTTGATTGCCTTTATCTAGAAGATGATTATGAAAGAGATATTTCAGAAAAGGAAATGTTCATAACTAGAATACTTCAGTTCTGTATGAATGCTGTCCTACAGCTATGCTGCTATACTTAAGTGTCAGATGTAAACCAAAATAGTTTAAGATAGATGTTAAAAAAATTATACCATTTCTTAAGTAATAGGCAAGGAAATAGAATCATAGAATCAGTGTGTTGGGTTGGAAGAGGCTGCTAAAGGTCCTCTAGTCCAACCCCCCAGCAGAGAGCAGGGAAAGAAAACTAGTCCAGCTTGTAAGCAGGACATCCAGCAGGATGGCTCAGCAAAACTGTCCTGTTCTTCCAATTGTATTCTTGTTTGTATCTTTCATTTTAAACTATTTGTGAATACATTTAAAGATTCCATCTCAAAGTTTAATATTTATATAATTTAGGTTAGTGTAGTAGCATTACTGAGACATTAAAATGGCATAGGATGAAAAGCTGCTTCTCCAGCTGAAGGCACGTAGGAATGTGGACAAGAAGTCCTGCTGCTGTTCACAGTCAGCGTGTTCAGGTATCTTGCTTTGCTGATTTGTTTCAATTTCATTCTGTTTGTTGGGGTTTCAGCAAACATGGTATTTTGTGTAATTTGTCATCTAAACAATTATTTTCTATAGGGTATCCAGAAAACTGAGCTACACTGATGGGAAAGACAAATCCTAGTGATCCCATGGATGACTTCCTGGTCAAAACTCACCAAGGAGCATTCATAGACTACAGAGAAAACATCGATTTATAAAGTTTAGGTTTTGTTTTGTTTTTCTTCCGAGAATCAAAGTTCTATTATATGTACATAATGTACAGTTAGTTCTGATTTATACTTACTTGTAATACAAATCTTCAGGAACTGGTTCATTGCTTCTGACAGGGCACTTCGTATTCATTTGGCTTCATCAGGTATTGCAGGGAATCAATGTTGCTTTCCATGGCTGGTTATACACATTGCTAAATACATGGTTTAATAATTGAATATGATCTATATTATCTTTTTATTGGCTGATAAGCTTTCATTCTTAACATGTTAGAAGTTGTTACTTATCTCACTACTTTCTGCTTAATTCCTGCCTATTCATGGATAAATACATGAAAAACTCTAAACTGACCTGAGTGATCCAAACGAAATACTATACACTCTGACTTTTAATGTGCCTACTATGTAATTTTAATGTTAATTTTTCTAAATAGTTTGACAAACTTCAATGTTCAATAAAATTTTATAGTTTTTAATGGATTTGTTCATTATATCCTGTGTTGTGTCAGTTAGCTTTTTATTACAATATATATTCTAAATAAAAGCCTGTTCTGAACAAATACCTGCTTTCAGGTATTTCATTTTATTTCAAGTATATGAATTCTCAGGAGTTTGAGCTCTTAGAGCAAATACATGAAAATGATGTGGCAGGGCACCATAGTTTTTCATTGCTGTGTTCTTTCTTTTCAAGGGATTGTTTTAGTGGTGTCAGAGATACACTCTGTTCTATCAGCGTTCCCCCTTGTTAGTTTTCTGAGCTCCAGAAAAGGAAAAAAATCCTTTTCCCTTGGCTTTACTCCATTTCTGGTTACACAGGAGGTTTTTTGTGTTATTTCAGGTGTTATTTCAACTCTTAAAACCAAGATATTCTTATTTTAAGTGTTGTTCTTGAATGAAACAAGAAGCCAGCTTCAGTGAGGTTTTCTCTGCAATATGACAAGAATTTCTGCAATATACGCCCAAACATTTTGCCCCTCATCATTTGTATATGTTTCCTTCAACAACAGCAATAAAAGGTTGTCTTCTAGAAATGCTTTTGTGGCTCATTTTTCTGCCTGTTCCAGACATGGATGAACTGTGGAGAATATGCTTTATGAACTACCTTCCCCTTGGATTTGTGAGATAATTATTTCCCAGTATTTCTTGCTACACCAGTACTGAGAGATTTTATGACTCCATTAATGTTTTCTGTTCTAAAGTAACTTGAAGGTAAACTGGAATTGGGTTTTGGACATGTTCTGCCTCTGCCTGTGACTTCTACACAGCAACCTGACTGCAGTCTCACCCAGGTAAGAAGGTACGTTTATTTAAACAACATAGCAATAGCTCATTGCCCCCATAAAAATTGCTTCAAAAGAATTTTAAGAGGTAGTTCTTGAAAAACCTTAATGTGTTGGAGGATACGCTCATCCAGTGACACTTTTTTTGGTGCTAGCATAGTGAAAAATGACAGATAGTTTCACAATTATTAGAGTTTGATCCTCCAACATTCACTTGAGACAGCAGACTCTTAGATGTATGATATAACCAAAAGTCTGTGTTGGTTTTCCTTACAATACTGTTTTTACAGATGCATCTGCAGTGATTGTCAGATGCTATAATGACTACTGGAGCATACCTGTCCTAGACGTAGAAAGATTTTGTGGTGCTACTTGATCTCTCTTCTGTTTCGAGCTTTGTTCTTCTTCCCTTCCAAAGAGTTTTGCTTCTTCCACCATATTTCCTCTTATTTATTTTCTTTCCTGTTCTACTGAACTGATACTTGAATGCTAAGCTTACTGTTAATGAAAACAGCTTCACACTGCTTCCTTCCTCAAAATTTTTGTAAGGAACACTGGAAAAAGAGGTTAGTATGAAGCCAGACCTCTCCTTTTCTTATTTTGTTGTAATTAGTTGCAACTTTGTTTATATGTAAAGAATTTAACTAATATTTGATAGTTTATGTATGTCTTGAAGATGGAGCAATATTGAACATGCTCTTTCTTGTAAGAACTCAGTAGTCATTTGAAAACTATCCTAAAATCATTTGAAAAAATAGGTCATTCAGTTGCTTATTTGAGCAGACAGAAGGTAAAAAGCTGGAGGAGTAAAGCTATATGTGGACTGTGGCAGCATTAGAAGTGCCTTGGAAACAGCTGATAGGCCATTAAAGATGATCTTGAAGTGGAGTCTGTGAAAGCAGTAGTGAATAATTTAATGGAAGCAGTGATTATATGTGACAAGGAAGTATATATTAAAGGAGAATATTTACAAAAGTGCCCTACTCTTTTATACAGCTATGTTGCAAGGGAAAGCAGCTGCTGAAAATTGACATAAGTAAATAGCTGGACTAAGCAATTAAGACTAAGAACACAGAGCAAACTAATGTACCTAAATCCTATGAGATGGGCTTACTGTTACGTGTACAGTCAATGAGAGAAGTACGTACTTCATTTTCAATAAATTAATGATCAGGCTGAAATGAAAGGTTGAATTAAAGTAACTCATAGAAGTTCTTTGACTTTGGAATTTTGAGAGGAAAAGTAGAGTAAAAGGCATAATCAAGAGTGCAAATGCTGTGAGAAAATTGGGGAAATAGCAAGTTTTGTACAAAGTATACACAAACTGTGTTAAAACACTGGCAGCGCTCTGTATGGGCTTGAGCATTTCAACTTCTCGGCACTGTGCTTTGTGTGGATTTTAAAGGCACTGATATCCTGTTGTGAAAGCAGAACTCTTCGACACCTAGAGGTAGCCATATTACATCAACGTGCCTTATTCTTTCCTGCTACTACTACTTAATGACTCGCATATGTAAAAATAAATCCCCACTCTGTAAAAGCTTACTATCTGATGGGTTTAAGGTCTTAAGATGAATTTGCACACAGTATGTGAATTATTTGGGGAAATAAAAAGCTCTTTCTGCTTTTGTGAAATAGTTGGTAACGATGGCAATGTAAAACCCAATAGGCATCTAAACATCACATGGAATATTAGAATATTACAAGGAAAAAATTCTCCCTAGGAGATATACTATCACAGATCATTTGCCTGTATCTTTGTGGACCCTTGAATACAACTGGATACAGCATTACATTAGTAGAAGAGTTGAGATTTGAGGTCTATTCTGGTATTGCTTACAGAAGGAAACTAAAGATCATAAGGATGTTGTTAAAACCTGCGAGATGTACAATTGCTACTTAAGCTGTTAAATTATTCTTCAATTATATTTAAATATTTTGTACTATTGCCACAGACCAGTCACAGTGGGAAAGTACACAATGTTGAACTGCAAGTGAGTTTTCAATTGGGAAAACAACCGAACCATTAAGTGTGCAAGCATGAAACAAAATTTCCTTCCCAAAGTACTGTTAAAAACCTGTATAGAATAGTTCTGCTCTGCTAGAGCGCTACAGACAACAGACTGGGTCCTAAGACTGTTACAGAAGTTTACGATTATTTTAAACAAAGGATGAATTTTTACTGGAATCAGTGCCATGCGAATGCTGAGCTATCCACTTCTACAACTCCCTTTCAAAATGTCTTCAGAAGAGCAAGTCCTTCAAAGCGGCAGTCTGAATCTTATTTCTTGCTTAGTCTGTAGATGTGCTTGGAAGACACTTGAGAACACTTAACTTACCCATTTTATACCATTGTTTGGTATGACAGTTTGCCAAGACATTAATCATTCACTGTTCTTCCAGAATGCACAAGCAGATCTCACTTTAGGATAATGTATTTGGTTTGTGAAGACACTTCAAATGTTCTCTCCTTTTGTCGTATGAATCAAACCCATCAATCTGATGGGATCATCATGAATGGCTTCTACATTTGCTGTGTTTTCAGCAGCCAGCTGCTCACTATTGAGGTAAATGCTAACTTTGGAAGCCATCATGGTGGGGTTAGATGATCTTTCTTCTTCATCTTCCTCTAATGAAGGGTCTTTCTTTCTCCTTGCTTTTCTGCGTTTTCCCTTGATGCTGTGATCAAGCGAGGCATAACACATCTGATTAGCAGGCTCCACCTAGAAGGAAATTGATTGGATATTTACCATTCAGTAGCTATGCTTGCTTTATAATTGTGTCTAAGACTTTGAGTAAGTCTACACTGTGATCATAATAGTGGCTGAAGTTTACCCAGACTGGCTGTAAATTAACTCATTAAAAGCACAAATGATTAAGCTGTGGTGGCACAGAAAATAGATCAACATAACCTCGTTGTTAATGATTCATGTTCTTAGGATAGTGGCAGTAAGGAAAAATTTGTCAGAGTGTTATTGGAAATATTCTTTGTGGGAATGACAGTAGAGTGTATAATCAGCCCAAGTTCTTTGGGGTGCAAAACATTTTAATCTGTTTTTCTTCCTACTTTTTTAAGTAGAATCCAGTTATTAGCAACATTTTTTCACAGGTTTTGCCTGTGCAGAAAACCAAAGATGGGTTCTTATCTCTATATACTGTCTCTTATCCAGCGCACAATGTATGCTTTGTATGTCTTTCCCCCGCCTCTCTGTTTTTAAAGCCAAATTGTCAAGCAATTTTGACACTGGAATTTTCTTAGATTATTCTGCTTCCATTAAGATAATGAAAACAAATGTCTAGATAAAAAAGGATATTTCTACCCCTTGGAAGTATTCTGAGAGAGGCTGGAAATTGCTGCTTATGAAATACCTGGAAGTCAACTCAAGAAATTGATGCCAGGAATGCTTCAATTACAGACAAATTTCAGTTGAAACTTGCATGATTTTAGGCATCCAATTATCTCATCAAAATACAAATCAATAGAAAGGCAGTTGTCTTTCATTTGTTAAAACATATAGTTTTTGTGCTGGACAGGAGAAAGCCAGTCAAACTCACTATTATCATGTGATGCAGCTTGTGTTTTCACTTGGTTTATGTCCAAATTAAATAAAACTAGTTATTTACATAAGTCATAGCAGTAGATGCAGGTTTAATTCAGCCTGATCCACATCCTTGTGACTGAGCTTTACCATGCCATATGGATGGAAATGAGCTGTCTATAATTCTCCTGCTCTTTCATTAATGACCCAGATTGAATGAAGGGTCAAGTCTGTGCCTAAATTCCATGATGAACTGAGGCATCAATGCATGGTAATTTTTGTGATGAGCAGTGTGGAGATTTTTGTTATATATTGTCATGGGATAAACACAGAACTCTGAGACAGACTACATTACCCTAATTCAGAAATCCAGAATTAAAATTAAAGATACCTGTAGCTGGTTAACTGGCCTCTGAGGCTGGGACTTCATCTGCTCGTAACAACATTCCTCTATAATTTATCAAAGTAGAAAAATGTTTTAGTTAAGACACGCTTTTGAGTCTTAAAAGATCAAATCAACAGATCCTCCCTGTCACAGAACAATCTCCCCCCAGTTTACTTTGGCAGAAGTTTGTTTACTTTTGAAATCATACACAGATCTCTTCCTCTATTTATAGAGGGACAGCTAAGAAATTCAGATGCACATACTATGAAAATGAAAACCATTTTCTGTTCATATGGATGGGAAGTTTCTCATCCTTTTAGACTGCTAGGAGGACATCTTGCAATTAGGGAGTAACCACATATTGATGGATTTTTCAGCATAGGCAATCTTTGCTTTGGCTGCGAAAGAGGCTGTGAGTTGCAGCAGCTGATGGTTATATTCTATCCATGACACTTCTTTCAGTTTTCTTTAAATTTGGTGCAAGTTATTTTCTCATGTTAGCCACTAGTAAAACAGATTACGTCCTTACAGGTTTCATGCTTTTGTAGTGTCAGTGCATTTGGATGTTGGCTTCGTTAAATTTATGGGAACCCCATATGAAAAAGTTGCATTTGGGGTTTTTTCTCCCCTGTTCAAGTACTGTAGTTCAGTTTTGCTTAACCTCAAATAAGGCTAGCAAAACAGTTGTCTTCATGTTACTTAAACACTGTTTTAATGCCATGAGGGCTTCAAGAAACATACCTTCAGGGGACCTAGCTCTAGCTGCAGATGTATGATGTTATTGCCTTTAATGTGGTAGCTCTCTGGCCAGGATTATTAACTTCAGCCCAGAAAAGCAGAGGAATGCTGTGTCTGCCCACCATTCAGCCACTAAGGTTGTTTTCAGCATATTGTCAACATCACTGATGAGCTGTGTTTAGCCACAGCAGAGAACTGGTATGTTTGTTGCTGTCAGCTTCTGTGGGAGCATTGACTTTGGGCAATTAGCAGTATTGTGTGTTAAATTGCTTTAGTGCACATGGGTCAAGCTATTATTTCAATCAGTGCAGTTTTACATGTAAAAGAGCTCTTGTTTTTGATATATTTGGCTGAACAGGACCATTTGGACTGTAAAAAATCAAATTCAGCATGAGATCTGGTGTTACAAATTGTAGTGCAGTATGATGGTTTGCAGTTCTATCCCAAATAGGCATTGGTACAATAATTGAAAAAGGCTGATTCTCAAGCTTGCCATTTGAGAAATACAAAGTGTTGGTCAGTCAGCTTTTAAACATACATTTATTACAGCCTCTGAACAGACACATGTTCTTAAAGTGAACATTACCTAAAATATCTTGATTGAGGTTGCCATAAACTGGGTCATCTTCTGTGTAATAGTCATCATAACTAGAAGGGGAATGGAAAATATTTTAATTAACAGAATATGCCTTATTTAGGACACCACTATTCTACTCTAAACATTTTACACACATGTAGCAATAACAGATTGTAAGTGGTCTGTAAAACAACACCAAAAATAGCAAGGAGGATCGGAGGAACAGAAATACCAGTTTTGCAGAAGGAGAAGAAATGGCAATGTCCATATTCTGAAGAGAGATTAGCCAAGAATTATCTAGCCAAGGATTCCTATAACTTAGTCAACTATAAAGCTAATCTCAAGAATTACTGTTCGATATAGTTCTAGAAATAGTAATGATCACTGAAAGGAATCCAGTTAATGTCCTCTGAGACCACTTTGCAATACAAACTAAAGCACTAAATGAGTTTTTGGGGAGGTTTTCTTAAAAAGTCCACTCTTGATTCAACTAAAATACTTAAGTGAACAAAACTAGAGAAGACCAAAGCAAAGCTCATCTTGGGATATTTCATGGTATTCTATGTTTCATTACCTGGTATTTCTTTAAAAAGTTTTAAAGCATGTTTGTAAAGATGATAATTGTTAATGGGATCACTGTGTAAACTTAGTCCTGTTGCATCCTTATACTATGACTCATTGAGGGAGTGAAGCAATGCATCAAACACCATTTTTCAGTGGTATTTTTCAACTGAACAGGCAATAGTAGACCGACTTCTCAACTTCAAGTAAATTTGTAATTGAGGATTGGTTTTGGAGAACAGGAGAAGGCTTTTGTATTTTTATATCAAGGGCCTTTTATATTTGGGTTGAGACGAGACTCTTTCCATCTCTGTTTTCTAAAGTGGGATTTGTCTTTTTTAATGGAATAATAGAAACAGACTTGAAACAGATCATCCAGCAGCTATAAACAGGCTCCGTTTTATTGCTTTTGAACATCATGTGTTAAAGAAGGGTATGAAATGTAAATATGTATAAATTATTGCCCCACAAGTATTAAATATCAGACTATAATTTATCATTGTATTCTGAGAGTTCTTTGTAATTATTATAGATTCATTGAGTTTGAGGGATAGTAAATAGAGTTTTAGCTCAATATCTTGCACATCCATCAGTATATAAAGTTATCATATTAGCATGCAATTATTTAATTGTTGATAAAATTACTGGAGTACAGCTCTCCCACATGAATTTTTTGCTGTTTTCTTTGGAACACTTTTTTTCCATAACCAACCCGCTCTCCGACATTTCCTGGCAGGCTGCATGAGGTGTTGGATTTTTCCTCTATGCCATCCCTCCAAAGCCATCTGTTATTACTTATTGCTTATTTCACCCTTGCCAGAAAGAAACTTCTTTTATCCAACTTACCTTGGACTGTTGTCTTCATAGTCTCTATACATTTTAGCTGGAAAATTTGTTAAAAAAAATAAAGATAAAATGAAATGTGCTATTTTAGAACACTCAGATAACTGTCTTAATTGACATGCTTTAGATTTTACTGTAGAGAGCAAAACTGAAAGCTCTTGAGTCTCAAAATCTTCAGTTGTCTCCCTGCTTTTCTCAAATACTTTTGACTAATACAAGAAATGCTTGTGTTGTGACTCTATACTGTTGTTTCAAAGTCTGTCAGTTTACAAGACCCCAAAAACATATTGTAACAGGCAATTAATTCCTTGTTTCCTCCTCCTCCTGCTTCTACCTCATCTTTTCTCTGCCTAGAGAGATGCATTGTGTGTTTATATTACCAGGCGAAGGCTTCATTTATTTTACTAATACTATTTCTTGTATCTCTGAAAGAGAAATATCCTGTGATCCACACAGATGAAGAAATTGAAGCAGAGAGGCAATGGCTACAAGATTTATTGCTAGAGCTTGATTAATAACTCCGGAATGCCTGACTTTCAATTCCCTGCTACAGGACTCCAGAATTTACCATAGTAAGCTCTGATTCCATGAACAATGCAACATCAGCCGATCTGACCAAAACGTTGGTCAAGGTTAATTTTGAAAATGACTCTGAATTCTCATCATAGAAATGTCTGCCTAGTAGTACTACAGGACAACCCAAAAAGGCACCCTAACCCTGATCCTGTAACACTCCACCAGCTCTTTTGATATCCTGTAATAATCTAGGTTGCTTACATTTAGTGAGTTCAGTCTGTAAGCGTAGGCTTTCTGTTTATGTATCTTACGTATGTATATGCGTTTAACATGGGTGAATCCACCAGTGTTTGCCTGCCCACCCATACATGTATAGCATAGGTGCACTTTTCCCTGTATAAAGGACTTTTTTTTTCCCTGAACAGGGGTGGTGAGGATAATAACCATAGAACTATATCTACAAGTGAGGTTGCACTGGCATAATGAATCCTTTTTGAAAAATTATATTTCATTTTAACCAAACTCTGAATATTACTGTAGTCACCCTCTAACATAAATTAAACAAATCAGCTTCTAATTGTGAGTGACACGTTGGTTTAAGAGCTACATTAGGATCCCACGATGAAACGCAAATAGAACTTTTTTTTTTTCCAAAATAAACTGATTAAGAATAAAATCTGTCTGAAATCTGAAATTCAAATGAGTATTCAGGAATTTTGGGAGGAGAAAATTTTCTCAAATGTATTTTGTATTAGTGAAGCTACTAAAAATATTTTTTAAATTTAAGTGCAAATTGTAACCAGTTACATGAAAAGTACACTTAAAAAAAAGGAAATTACGGCTATAAAAAGATACTTTTAAAATGGAAATTTAGCCAGAACTAAATTCTTCACCTTGCACATGTTCTATTGGTTTGTCTGCAAAGAATGGATTTAGATAGTTGTTTTTAGCAGTGGATTGGGCAGCTACCGATCATTCTGTAATTATACCTTACTCTCCTAAAAAAAATTAAAAGTTACATCCTCTCAACTAGAATCATTCTTGCCAAAAGACAAATTTAAGATTCAAAAGAATCAATGTGCTGTCTTGAAATCTCCCAGCAGTGATAGTTTTCCCTACGGACATTTTAAACACTCAAACTCTATTCCTTGCAGAAAGGCAACATTACTTACCTTGCTTCTTTTTCATGTAGTGTGAAATATTCAGTATCAATGAAATAACCAGAGCCAAGCTCAGAAAGGCCAGAACTCCCCAGACAGAAAAATGGCAGTCCATTTCTGCAACTGAAAGAAAATAATTTTATTGATTGTTTTGTCTTTGTGGTTGATTGATTTTTCCTGTCTGTAATTCAAGCTGCTATTTTGTTGTTTACTCTGTGACAGTCGTTGCTATGCAAGCTAAATAATGAATATCAAAACCAGATGCTAAGTAATAAAAAAATAACATCAGTAAACTGTTAGCAGAACTACTGTTTCATAGCAATTCAGCCAAAGGCTGGGTTATTGGTTTGCCTGTAAAATGCAGTAAAATGCAGAAATTGCTAAAGAAAAAAGACACTTTAGTGAATAGCTTTGTCTTTAACTTACTATTTGCAGTAAATTTTTGGCTAATTTTTAGAGTTCATAAATGTAGTTCTGAAGATTAACTCAGTCAAAATAATTTACTTTACTGGCAATGTTTATGAATAATAGCTAAGGCCATCAGGCCATATAACTATCCCTGCAATAACAATCTCCGTGTTTTCTTGCATCTGCTATTAAAATAACTTACTTTACTCGCTCTCCTTCCTGAGAAAGCAGAGGATGTAGTGGCAAAGGATGAGCAGTAGCTGGGAACTGGTGAGCCCCTCAGAACTACTACAGAGAAAAACCAGAAAAGCTCCTGAAGAATCACTTAGTAAAAGGTGGGTCAACCAAACTGAACAAAGCCTCTCTCTCCATTGAATTTGCCTCTCCTTGGACTCCTGTTAGAAACACAGGAAGGAAACCACACATACCAAATGTATTTTGTAACTTCATTAATTCTTCGATTAGCTTAGCTCATACAAGTTTTCCATCACAAACCATGCTGAAGAAAATAGCCTATCTGTGGCAGTCTAATGGCCAAAATGATCAGTGTTGCTGCAAATGGCCTGTGAAACCCTTCCTTGACAGAGGGAGTGCTGAGCCAAATACATGAGTGAAACAACCTTGAATCTAGATTTTTCACTTTCCCCAGAGGCATGTTTCAAGTTCTTCTACATTTTGGGTGTTTGAAATAAAGCCTTGTCCAAAAAACTAATGAACTCCACTAATACCACAAAAAAAGTCTAGCTGGAGCAGAGCAGTCAAGGGTAGAGATTGGATGACACTGTCAGAGTGAGATCCATAATGCTTTTCCTTGGTTTTGATGCAGCTGGATTCCTTCAGGAGGCTGAGATTTTCTTTGCTTCTATTCTGAAAGCAAAGCTGAGGTAAAGGAGTTCAGAAATATACATTCCCATATTGCCGACCAGGAGTGGTGACAGTCAATAGATTTGCTCCTGCTGAGAAGGCAGTGTTTTGTTCCTTGGCTGACCAGTTCCAGCTTACCTTGGCAACTGCCTCTTATTTTGTTTCCTAATTTTTCTGGTGTTGCAAAAGCTCTTTTAGTTTTGTATTATTCCTAGCCACAGATGTTTTTATGATGATGAAGTAAGACAAGATAATCCTTGGTAGTAAAAAGTCACAAATCACATGCGCTTTTATGATGAAAGTTTCCTTCCTGATCAGAACTCTCTTTTAAAAGTAACAAAAGAAAGCAAGTAAGCCGTAACCTTTTGACAGACTTGTAACTGGCTTTTGTGCATGGTTATTTCCAGTGGCCATTTATCCTTCCTTTTAAACTAAACATCCAATTTCCATTCCTTTCTTTTCTCCTACCTGAGTTCTCCCAAAGGTATTTGAGGGTTCTCCATCACTGCAATACCACTTTTCATGTTCAGAGGCACTTTTTTGCAATGAGTTACAATCATGAGCGGAGACACCTCCTCCATGAAGCAGCTATATATTATTCCAATTCTTCAGAGTAGAAATTAAAAGAAAGGGAGCTCTCACCTTCAGAAGATGTTATTGAGCCTCATCAAGAACCTTCAGAGTTTGGAACCTGGTTACTCTACAGATAGTTGCTCAACGACATTTGCATCCTACGGAACCCTGTCCGAAACTACAAAAAGTCTGTGTCAAAGTCAAGAACTTGTAAGTCTCAAAGTAGTGACTGAATAGTAAGTTATCCTTCCTTCTCCTGTCCTTTTATCTTTTCTGAAGTGATTTATTTCCATTTTTCTTATATTTATGTCTTAATATTTTTCCTACTTTTTTTTTCAGTGACTAAAAGCAGTATTGTGGCCTAAGAGAAGGGAAGCACACATAACTTATGGAAACTACAACCCTCTGATTCATTAGAATAAAGAGAGTGAGTAGATACATCAAGTACAGCTGGAACCTAAGTTTGAACCTTTTTCTTGATACTGAGTGCTGTCATTTATCATTCTGATTCAGGAATCCTATTTTGCCCTGGTGATTCCAGAGCAGGAGGAGAACTCTTAGTTTCAAATTGTGTATTTTCAGCCCTTAAGGGAAGTGGAGGACGTAGCCAAATTTTTGATGACAATTACTTTTTTCATATTTCAACTTCTGATTAAAAATGGAATTATTATCTGGAAAATAGTAAAGGTCGGAAAACAGTTGTTTCCCTTTTCAGTTTTTTTGAAGTTTAATTTCTGCGATATTTGAGCAATCCCATTTCTCTAGGACTTTAAAAGTATTCTATTAAAACAAAAGGCTTGAAACTTGGATTTCTAATAATATGTACCAATGTTTTAAACCCCACAATCTATAGCTCTTTCTTAAGCACAGCTTAGAAAACTGCATGGGTGTCAGGAGATTAAGAAAACAGCATTTAATTTTATTCCTAGCTGAACACTAATTAGTTTATTTTTAAATTTATTTTCCACAACTCTGACTTAAAGATCTGCTTGTAATTCAGTACAATATATACAAACATACTTGTAACTTCAGGATCTTATTTTTCAATTGTTTTGTCTTTGCAATATGAGCTATTTGTTTGTTAGACAACACTAGTTGTATTTCAGTTGTACAACAGCAGTTTTTATTTACCCCGTAAAACCAAAGGAATGGTCTTGATCAGAGACATACAAGTGCCGCTCTAAGTGCTCTTTGCTTTTCTAATGTCAATTTTAAGTTAATCTTACTGTCCAGGTAAAAAATATGAAAGATTTTGATTTTATGTCTTAACTTTGCAGATATACAACTCCTAGCTCTTTCCCAGATGTTCTTGTACTACCCTTATAGTTGTTGCCAAGTGCTAGCTATCTACATACATAACTCCATTATTTAAATATTTACTACTTTGACAACAGCAGCAGTAAAAGGAAAGCTGAAAAACAATTTGTCTCTTGAGATAGCTACACCACTGTGCCTATATGTATAATAGCAGATGCAACCTGTGCCAGCTAACTGGTTGTGATAAAGACAAAAAATAAAAAAAGATGACTATGGATTAAGAGTGAAAAATAAACAGAAAGAGAAGTCTATTAGACTAATTATAGTCTGTTCTGAAATAGTGTCTTTTATTCTATTCTCTAATTTTAATTCCTAGTCAAGTAATCTACTGTCAAACATAGCAAAACCGGATTTTAATTTTTTTTTTACATATTATATATTTATTCCAAAGAACTCATAGCACTGTGTTCAGGGGCATTTGTACTCAATTGCTGTCAAATTGGATATCTTAAAAAGTTTTATCTTTGACAATAAAAGTCCTAATGAAAAATTAAGCCACTGGGAATAGCACTCCATGATTCTAACAGGATAAACTCACACTCCATCAGGGCTTTCTGCAGTAGTCTATCTGTCATGGGAAAAACCTAAGAGTGACGGTAGTGCGTTCATAAAAAATCATATTGAAGCTGTTCTTAAAGTAGTAGTCTCCCCTGTGAAAGAAGAGTTCATCGTATAACCAAAATGTTCATGAGGACAACAATTCTCATTTCATTTTTAGAAGTTGGGATATGTGAGTGGGGGAAGTACTGTATTTCATCATTATAAAGATGACAGTATTTTGAATACCTAATATCAGAATCTCTCTAGTATTAATGATACATTCCTATTCTCTTGTTCTTTCATTTTTATTTGGAAACAGTCAAACTTGGCATTGCATCCAAACAGAACATCTACCTTAGGTAATTTACTCCATCTGGATGAAGTTGGTTTTTTTCTGACTTTAACTTTAGGGTTACTTGCATCCTTTTAGCATATTTTACACTGCTGTGAACTATAGGTACTATATTCACGCAACAAAATATGAGCAAACAAAATACTTTCTAAATACATAGTTAATTGTGCTTTTTCTCTTTAGTAAATCTATTGACAACTTTCTCTCTGACAACAGAGACAAGACATGGGAATAAATAGAATTTGGTTACTTATTCTTAGGTTTTATCTTTCCAGGGGTCATTGTACTGTAATTGGAGGGGCACAGGGGGAAGAAACAAATAAAAACATAACTAAACAAACAAAAGCCTTCAAAACATTATAATCTTTTCTGGATCTATTTCTGCAAGTCAATGTTACTGGAACTCAAAAACGTGGAATTAATCACCTACTTACCTTTGGGTAAAGGGGCCAGATTTAACAATGCAAGGCTAGAAATAGGTGCTTATCCTTCTAAGAGCATAAGAACAGGTAGCACAAGTGCAAAGTTTTGTTCCTACTTGTTCTAATGTATTTTGCTTTGAGAATCCATCACGAAGGATAACAAGAAGATATCGTACTTCTATTAGTTTTTCTTACTGAGTAGGAATACGAGGTGGGGAATATAGATACCTGACTAGCAAGAACTGGGCATGCCATCTATGGCATCAACTCATCACTCGTAGAAGCAGATTAATTACTTTGGTTACTACTGGATTTAAGATGATGATCTGGAGCACAAAACAGTTTGTTTCCTGTTGTTTCTGTCTGCAGATTTGCCAAAGGCGAGACAAAATTAGCTCTTTTCTCCCTCCTTTCCAATTAAATGGTTAGATAAATAATATTCTGTACTAATGACCCTTAGAAAAAGAAACCCATTAAGAGACTGATGAATGCTTAATTAGCATTAAAGATATTTCCACCTGTGTGACGTTTTTAAGACAGGATTAATTCTCCATAAAGAATTCTTTAAACTGCAATAAATTAGTGCACAACTAGTTGCTTTGTAAGATATCAAGTTCATACTTCAGAAGGGAAGCAGCA